GGGGGGAGAGGAGGGGCCGGTGGAGACCGATTGTGCGCGATCTTGAAACTCCGGAAACTGGCCCCCTGAAACGATTACGCGCGAAATTCCGAATGATCGTTATCGCGGACCGGGGCTCGAGCTCTCTCCTCCGTGGTGTAGATAGCGGAACCGGGGCGCGGCTATGTATGCGAGAGGTTCCAATTGAAACTTACCCAGAAACATTGCCACCATACTGGGAACCTCGGCACCCGGTGGCTCGTCTGGGCCGGCTTCTAGCAACAAAACTTTCCATTCGGGTATGTCGCTCAGTCTGGACGCCACCACGGCACCGGCTGATCCCCCTAATTCCAAAGCGACAAAAGTCATTAAAGTCCTATCGTTATTCAGCGCGCGGGCGAACCGGTTGTTCGGAGAAAAATGCATCCGCGACGGCTACCACGACGTCTCGCGGATAGAAGAAACAGGTTCCGGGCGAGTGTTTGTTAATTGCATTCGCCGGCGAGGAAGCGCATCTGCTCGCTGAAGCGACCGCAATTAACTTCCCTCGCGTGGCTAGATCCGTCATCGCGGACCGATAAATAAATCCGCCGTCTCATCGCCGACCGATTAGTCGTGAATTAAATCGCGCGTCGCGCCGTTTCTGCACGTTCCGATGTACGTTCGATCGCGCGGCGGACGACAAGCGTGCGAGCGTAAAGAGAATTACGCGCGGCCCGATAAATGAAGCACGCGGGTGCGCGCGATTGAGAAAAGTCGGCCGTAATTATCGCGATGACGCAAGGCAGTTTCGGCCGGTGGTGGCTTAGCTCCTTCGTATCGTTCGGTTAATTAATATACGCCGGATACGCGTAATTTGACGCCACATGGTGTTAGGATCCTATCGAGAATTGCGAAAACGGCTTGTCTAGGAGGCATTGGAAAGTTGACGGTTAAAGGCCTTGGCAATGGTTTGCAAAAGCGGTGTGAAATCGTATCGTACATGCATTTTTGCACGCACCGGCCACGCTACGCCTACCGTAAAGGCACAAAGGCGCGAACAAGAAGAAGAAGCCGATTCGCGCCCTGAAATCGCCTTTTCGGGATTCATCGCGCGCTCACTTACTTTCCTTCTGTCTCTTTCTACGCGGTAAATAATTTTTGGGTTAAATTCAACATATCTCACACGTCCCCAACTGTCGATTCAAATTTTTTTGTTAATATAACACAAAGTGAATACGTTAAAAAGTAACAATATTGTGTAGAAAAAAAATCTGTCGAGAACTAACACAAAATTAATACGTTAGTCGACACTGAAGTATAAAATGTGTTAACATTTATACGTGATATTCTCATGTGTAAACGAGAATATTATAATATTCTTAGAAGATTTTTAGCCTTAAATTGAGCGCAAATAATACTTGCATCGATACAAATTTAATCAAGTCGAACGAAAAATCTTCTAAGAAGATTATAATATTCTGGCTTATATATGAGAATATCTGATCTTGATTTAAGTTCTAACTATTTTCTATCTATTTTCTATCTAGAGAATATCTAATTTTGATTAATTTCTTTCATGTCTAGAATCTCATTCAATTACATATAGAAAGAAATACGTACACGTGTGTATGTATGTATTAAGCTGGCCGGCCGAATTCGATGTTTTATTTCGGCGATACTTACGTATTCTACACGCGCCGATACTTTATTTCTAGCCCAGGAAGAAGAGGAAGGGAGGGACTTCAGTTTTTAGTTAAGATGTCGATTTAGTTCAACTAAACATGTCCATATCTTTAGTTGCAACGTCGTAAATGATGGAGTAAGCGCTAAAATATACTTTGACCCATTTTAAATAAAAGATTTTATCGTAGTGAACGGCGGGCAAATGAGTTGCTAATTTAAGTTCTCGCGAATTTGAAATACGCGAAAATAATATCGTTCCCACGAGGCAGAAATCCCCGCTGCGGTTACGTGGTCAGTCGAGTTTTGCGAAATTCACCGTATTATCGGTGACGTTCGTTTGAGACGGTCACGCAACTGACATAATTTATATGTCCGCGCAAGTAGTTGCAATAATGCGGGAAACTTCAATAGTCCACATTCGGCGCAGAGGAAATTTATTGTTTCGCGATGATTTCGCATTCCGGGTTTAAGTCGATGACCAATTCGATATCGATGGTTAATTTTTCGGACCGTTCGATTTGATAACTGCCAGATTTTTCATTGATGTAAAAAGCCCATTGATGTGAAAAAAAAATCGACGCTACATTGGCGACAAATCCGCATGACGTTTTGTTAACAGCATGTCGATGTACAATCGATATCTAGTTATTTATGCGATACATAGAAGACGTGATATAAATATTGGCCGATTATTGACGATCTACTTATCTAGTCGGTATCGTATCCAAGTCGAATCGTTATATTCAGTTTGATATGCATACGATATAATGACAAAATCGTTAATACGTAATACGTTAATACGTACTCAATATCTTTTACACAATAAAAAAATGTGCCAAACACATTTCACACGTCCCAAACGGTCCATTCAAATTTTTGTATCAATTCGACACAAGGTGAATATGTTAAAAAGTAACACAAATATTATGTGTTAAAATTAACCCAAAATTAATACGTTAATCGACACTGAAGTATAAAATGTGTTATTTTTATTGTAATACTTACATACGTTGAATATCGGCACAAAATGTTGATGTAACTTAAATCCAATACGTTAAATTGGCGCATGAATTAACTAAATAAATATAATAAATTAACACAAGTACTTAAACAGGTGCAAAATATTTTCCACCGTGTAAATATCCATGTAAATATCCGTGTAGATATGTGATAAAATGTTACAAGTGTCAAATCGAACATTGATGTCCACGCGATCCCGATCGGACTTTTCACTGACATGAACCTGGACAGGCCGACGGGCGATGACGGTCCTCTCTGTTATTTCTTTCTTCTCAACGCGCCATCAATTAAACGTATTAACTCGGCTGCGAACACCGTGTGAGATACACGATGCGCGGTCTCATGGGCCGGCATCATCAAAATAGCCCGCGTACATCCCGCCGGGGTCCATCGCTTACATCGAAATCGCGTTAATCGAATCCTACTTTCCCGCAGATATTGCGGGATTATAGGCGGGATATTCTAATCAAGAAATTCAATTAGCATTTCCGCATGTGTATCAAATCGCGTTACCGGCAACTGCCACTTGCGTAATGCGATTTACTCGCCCTGTTTTACCGATCGCGCATAATTACCGCCACGTGTAAATCGGGCTCGCGTGTTGCGGCTAAATACGGCGATTTCTTTCCTCGGCTGAAGCCCTTTCTCGTATGAATACGCGGTGTGCGACGTTCGCGCGCGGTTTATTAATTTCACGGAAGACGACGTCGTCGCAGAAGTCGGGACCCGAGACTACTGCCGTCGAAATTAAGAATAAACGTCTTGATATGATAGTTCAAGGTGAGACTGAAAGCTGAAGTTGTTAGAGGGAAAAAGAGAAATAGATAGAGAGAGAGAGAGGGAGAGAGTGAAAGAGAAGGAAAGACGAATTTCTAGCGAGGAAATTTTCACTCGTGTTATTTAAAGAGCAACATATTCCCGCGGGAAAATCCATGCTAATTTCATAAGAAAGAGGGAGAGAGAGAGAGAGAAGAAAGGGGGAGTGCAGAACGACGCGTCCGTGGAAGTCAATCTGCATTTCTGGCATAAATATCGGGATTTACACGTCGGTAGATTATTTGCATGACCCCGAAATTGGAACGGTGTAACGAACCGGTAACCTTTCTTCGGCCGCGCGATAATGGTGTACTTGATAACGGTCGTGCGTTATCGGACGAGGAAAAATAGCTTTACCGGAATGGCGAATTGCGCCGTATGCATATGTATATGTGTGTGTGTGTGTGCGTAATTTTCATGAGCGTGCACGCTTATGCGCGCACTTTGGAGTTCGCGCATCTCTATTCTTTATATAACTCGTATCTCTTCCTCCTATTAACACCTAACGTTTTCATTTACCGTGCCAGCACACCGGATTTCTCGTAAGTTACGAAACGAATGATAACGTCGGAAGATATATGCACGGTCGGGGGTGTAGCGTCGATGCATATTCAACGAGATCATTTCCGTGAGCGAATTCAAGACTCCGCGGCGGTCGCCGCCGCCTCTTCTTCCCCTACGGCTCCGTAAATCCCGTGAATTAATTTTATATTTACGATATACAAGGAGAGATAAATATTTATTTAACCGCAGCGACGACGCGGTAACATTGTTGCCCTGCCGCTGCTCGAGGATGCGCGCAGCTCTTCGAATCGCCAAGAGATAAAGGCGCGAATTTATCGCGATCTCGCGGCCGCGATCTCCCGCGATAAAACATTTCCGATCTCGTCCCGGAGTTTTCCTTATTCCGCATCTCGGCGTATCCATCTGCGGCGCGTCCGATGGCTGTTAACCGGGTTTGCGAGAGGCGAGGAGACGCTTCTCGTTCGGCGAAGAAACAAGTCGCGAGACCGGAGCGCGCTTCTTTTTCCGCGTCCGCAAATAGAAATGAAAACGGGCGAAGAAGTCGCGCGAACAGGCGGGAACACGGCTGGCGTGTTGCGTGCGAGTTCGGGCACGTGCCAGATTTCTCTCTCTTTCTCGTTCTCTTTCTTTCTCCCTCTCTCTGTAATTAGACGTCCGGTCGGTCGGACTCCGTTGGACGTTGTGAAACTGTAAGAACGGCGCTACCGGCATTTCTAAAGAAGAATTTTCATATCGGCGCCAAGTCGGAACAAACCGGGAAGAATTTTATCCGCAGTAAATCAGCTTAACGATGTCTATAATTAGCTCCTTTATGAAAACTAATTTGAATCCGGCAATTAATAGGGAAATTACTTTCCGTTCCCCGGCGTGCCTGCCCGGTGTGTACATGCTTCGAGCACAAGCGAACGTGAATATAAATTGGATCTGTCTTAATTATAGCGCCCGGAATATATGATTGTTCAAGCGGAATCCAATTGGACGCGGGAACCGTTTTTAATTAAACGTTAGAATTTTGGTACAATCTTCGAGGACTGCTTCTTTTTCCGATCTCTTACCACGAAACGCTCATTGCCCGGCATTTTTCACATAAATGTTTTCATTCACGTAGATGTAACTATGTATTTATGCTTCGATCGCGTCAGTTCACTTTCGGAAAACTCACCTTAGTTCGATTCTCTTGTACGCGAAAATGAATATAGATTGGGTTTGTCAGAATTATAGTGCTCGAAATGTACGATTGTCCACGCGGAACGCAATTAGACAAAAACCATTTTTAATTAAACGTAAAAATTCTTTCTCGATTCTAAAAATTGCAGTG